AGAAGGAAACAAAAACCAAAAATTCAGCACCACACCACCACCACCTATCGATCTGAAAACCACAAACAAAAAAGGAAACACGAACCACAATCGCCACTTCAGATCGTGGCTGTGGTGAGGTCGACAGCTGCAAGAGAGAGGAAGGGGGAGAAATGTAGAGAGAGAGAGAGAGAAAGAGAGAGGAAGGCGACGGTTGAGGCTGTGGGTTGGTAGTCGTCGGCGATCTGTGCACCACTAGTGGAGGTCGTCGGTTAGAGAGAGGAAGGCGATGGGGTTGGGAGTTGGGGGAGAAATGTAGAGAGAGAGAGAGGAAGGCGACGGGTTGAGGCTGTGGGTTGGTAGTCGCCAGCGATCTGTGCACCACTGGTCGAGGTCGCCGGTTAGAGAGAAGAGAGAGAGATGGGGGAAGGCGACGGGGTTGGGAGTTGGGGGAGAAATGTAGAGAGAGAGGAAGGCCGGTTGCTGTGGGTTAGTGTTAGTAAATTAATTATTTTATAAATATATTAATGAAAATAAAACTTCTGATTTTTGAAAGATAAAATATCTCACCTGATTTAAGAATTCAGATCTCCAAAAGCAGGGTTTGATGTAATTTCCACTTTACGTTTTGAGTATTATTTTGGGTTTAGTTTACTATTGGGTTGGATTTTAGTTTGGGTATACGTTCGTTCTCCATCTACTAATTGCGATTCTTGAAAAAAAAAAATGAAAATCAAGATTTTCATCCCAATGATTCTGCACGAAAAAATACCAACAAAATGAATTATTGAAGGAAAAAAATAGTCGCCCAAGAAAAACTTCGACCTACCTTACAAAAAAGGGCAATCGAAGTTAACCACCCTCAAATTGGCGTGGTCAACCTTGACCGACCTATTTAAAGGGGTCGTCGATGTTGACTATACCCAATGGGGTGGTCGATTTAAAGGGCTGGGTCAAGGTCGATCCCAAGAGGGGTCTCGACCTCCTAAGTTGCTTGGGATTGAGGGTCTTCAATCCCTCCTAGGGCTAGGAGGTTGGCATATGCATTTGTGTCTTCGTATGACTTAACAGTGAGTGACTACTCCTTATATTTGTTTTCAGGTTTCAATGATAGATGCAAGCACTTGTCCTTTTATATCATGTTGTCCTAAAACTCAACAAGTATAAGATCCTCGTGCATTATATGAACCCACCTTAGAACCAATGTCCGTATAACACAATAAGTGTCCGAAGACCCTTATGCATGATACAATCTCACTCCACATCCAACTTCAATGAATGTGACACGTATCCAAGATCCTTGTGCAACAATTGTCCGAAAATCCTTATACAAGATATTAGGCAAACACACCCTAGATCCAACGTCCACAAACATTACACATTTTTGAATATCCTTGGGCCGTATCACATAACTCAACTCCTATATAGGTTATGATCCAAGGTGTTTTTCCCCAAAGTTTGATTCTATGCATTTGAGCTTTCATGCATGCAATATTTCTCTAGAAATTATATCGATTCTTATCCTAATGAAAAATCTATGAGACCTCCCCGCCCTTTTTTTAGGTCACCGAACCCCGTCTAGAAGAGGTGGTTGAGGTCGATCCCTTTTGGGACGGTGGATGTTGACCACCCACTTAGGGCAGTCAACCTCGACATCCCCTTTTGACCGCCTTAACTCGAGGCGTTGATCGCTACTTTTTATGAGATAGATCATAATTTTTGTCCTTTGGTAATTCATTTTTTTCTAGTAATTTTTCCGTGCCTTTAGCATCACCTGGATGTTTTTTAAGAATCACAATTTAATTAACGAACTACAATGATAAGTGTAATAACAACATTAATTAGGAATCGATGCTCGGGAATTCGAATACTGGACTTATAAAAGCATCCTATATACCTAAATCGTAGTCCATCACAACCAAAGGAGACATTGAAAATGTTTTTCGACTGACTAAAACAAGAAATCTTGAAGTGTCAAACCATAACCAATGGTAAATGAAGTTCTCCATCCATCCGACACCGGAGTTCTATTTCCAGCAATATCTAAAATTGAAGAATATGTTGTCACAATCAAACACAAATACAAGAGTACATTGCCTTGAATAAATAGATTCCCACAATTCTTGAATCTTACCAAAAATTAGAAGTTGAAATGTTTCCTATCCCATCCCTATTATAAACTGGACGAGTTCTTAGTCCCTGTTTGATGCACATTCTTAAGAAAATAATATATTTTGGAAAATATGTGGTTAAAAAAGAAGGAAAAGTTCTTAATTTGCGGGTAATATTATTTTATTAAAGATTGTATTATTGAAAATGAATATTGAAATAATGAATTTTTTTAGAATATGAATCAAACAGGGGCTTAGGGTCAAATAGGTAACAAGATTTCTCAATGCCAATGGACCTCTAACATGTGGTCGAGTTTGATAGTCTAGCATACAATCATTGATTTTTATTTTTTACGAAGATGCATAATGTTTTAAAAATCGATTTGAACATCGACACGGAAAAGGAAGAGGGTCGAGGGTTAAAGGGTCGAATCGGGGTCGAACCAATATCGAACCAAATGACAAAATAAATAAATAGATAAATATACAAATAAATTATAAAATATCATAACTATAATAGTTTTTT